AGGTTATTTTGTTTGACCAGCAGCAAGGACATCTCAAGATCTGTGAGGCTTCTTCTAGCAAACTACTATGGGATGAAGAAGCGAAACAAGTCTTAGAAGACAAAGTTTCAATTCCTGCCTCAGCAGCTGACTTTTACCAACCTCACTGATCTTCCTGTGTTAGGTTTGTAGTCGGGGAGAGTGGTGGTCACTGATCCCCATGGTCTTCACAAGTACAAACCCCCCCCATCTCCCTGAATTCATCTCAAACTACAGAGACAGAAATGGAGACACCAGGATGTGGCATCTGCGAAGTCTTTGGAGAAGCAAAAAGTCTCGCCTCGTTTCCAGCCACGCATGTCTTGCAAGACTAATTTCTTCAGCACCAAAGTGGTCAGTGATGTCCTCTAAATGTGAGAAACTTCAGTGCAATTCCCACCTTCCCTGACTCCATCCATGAGAGTTACGGCTCTGAATTTGGAGGAGCTTCACCCACATACATATAGGCAATATCCTCCATTCAGTGTTGCCTGAGTGTCTGCTACACAATCCAAACGCTTAGGATACAGGACAAATATGAGATTTACTTGTTTTCTTAAAAGTTTATTAATTCCTTTTGAGTTACATCTTCGGCTAATCCTACTATTTCTTCCAAGGAAAGAAATGCTTTGCATTCCCAGTTCACTTGGAGCATGTGACTTCGTGGCCCAAACCTACCCACCTGTATCAAGCCAAACAGAATATTTGAACCCTCAAACGATTTTTCACCAAAAAAAGAAATTTTTCAACAGCCTTTCAATCAGCATTTAGAACGAACTGGATCCCTTCTGATTATCTGTGCTTCTAAATATTTTTAACAGTGTCTCAGGAGAGACTGACTTATTTTTAGCATGCCAAAAGCACACTCCTTGCAGGTGGTGGATTATTTTTTTTTTAATGACAGCTTATAAAAAACATTGTAAAATTGATATTTTTTTTTTCTTTAAATTATAGCCATCAGGAAAAATTGTTGGCTTGTGGATTTTTCATTGTTTTCCTGAAACTCCTCACCATTTTTCAGATTTTTTTTTCTAATTCAGTATGGATCTCTTGAGAAATGACCAGGAGAAAAGGCAAACAACAGAGAGAAGCCAAGTTGTTAGTACTGTTAATATTTTTATAAACCAAGAAAAAAAATGTTTGGAAGAAATATTTGGGAAAACAAACAGAAAGAAATGTCCGTTTGGATTCCAGCACAATACCAATGGAATATACGGTATTTTCCCTCCCCATTCTATCATCAGCTCAGTTGTTAAGTGACCCCTAGAGTGAGTAAAAGAAAGTTGGAGGCAGAAGGTGCAGAATTTGGTCCCACTTGTCACATCGGTGGTCTGAAGCTGGGGAAATTAATGGTAAAGGTGCCACATGGCTGTGCAGACCGGAGGAGACAAGGGGTGGAGTGAGGGAGGAAGGAAAGCATGTGGGCAATCATAGAATCAAAGAACGGTTTGGGTGGGAAGGGACCTCTAAAGGCCACCTAGTCCAACCCCCTGCCATGAGCAGGGACATCTTTAAATAGACCAGGATGCTCAGAGCCCCATCCAACCTGACCTGGAATGTTTCCAGGGATGGGGCGTCCACCACCTCTCTGGGCAACCTGGGCCAGGGTCTCACCACCCTCAGCATAAAAAATTTCCTCTTTATGTCTAGTCTGAATCTCTCCACTTTTAGTTTAACACCATCATCCCTCATCCTATCAGCAGGTTGATGGTTTTTCTCCTTAGGAAGGGGAAATTAAGGTATTAGAGGAATGAGGGAAGGGTGTTGTGGCTCCTGTCTGGGACAATAGGCATGACAGAGGGGAGAAACAGCTTTTGGCTGCATTAAAATCCAAGAATGTGGACCCAACAGTCACAAAGTGTGGCTGGTCCTGACGTCAGTCAATATTTCCATTTGAAAAATGTTTTCCGGGACTTTTCAGTCAATGTAGGAACTTCTCAATTTGTTCTGCAACCAAGAGGTCCAGAGTCACCTGGCTTGACCTGTGGATGTTTCCCCCAGCTTCACCCTACCACAGACAAATAACTGCAGTGCCTCTTCCCAATCCCTCTCCCCTGGCCCCAACAGTGCCCTGGATTGGCAAGAAACAGCCATGCTGGGCTTAATTTTAAGTTACGGATGTGTCAGTTGGCTGGTCAGTCAGCAAAGGCTGGTTGTTTAGATGGATTCTGCCAAATGTCCCCCTGCCCTTCCCTCTACTAATCATCAAACACCGCAAAAATTACAGGAAGGAAATGGCGACTGAAACTTCTTACCTCTCCTTCAAATTTGGCTGAAATGGGTTTTCCAAGCATGGGGCACGGAGAGAGAGGTGGGAGACAATGGAGAGGTGGGGAAGAAGTTGAAGAGCTTTCTCTGTGTTGTGGCAGTTCATGATAACAATGACAGATTAATTTTCATCTGTTCTTGGGAGACTGAGCCACTTTTTGAAGGCAGAGTCCCCCCAGATCTTATACAGATTTAATAGATTAATTCCATGGGTGAATGCATAGAGGCGTGGAAAGATTTCAGATGCAGTGAGAGGCAGCAAAGATGATCTTTTTTTTCTAATTTCTGGGACAGCTGGTGAGTCCCAACATTGTCCACATGAAAAAGCAGGAGTTCAGAGGTGTCCCAACACTGGCTTGCCCTCTGTTTCCTGCACAGAGCCTTCAACCCTCTGCTTTTTGGGAGGATTGTGGGAATCAAATTACCCACAAAGAAATAATTTCATGCTCTGTTATCCAAAAGCATCACTTTTCTTTTGAATGAGTCCATTGCAAACGTGTGTGTGTGTATGTTTACAGCATGAGGAGGGTGTACCCACCAGCTACTTTTCCACATTAATATTTTGTGGACAAATATTGCAGTATGATACTATAATGAAACTTCTTACAAATCCAGACTGACCTTTGCAAGTCGCTGTGAAGAAAAGGCGAAGGTTTTTCTTTCAGCATTTCAGAGCATGACATTTGGATGAATTTTTTTCTCCTCAATGTTGTTTCTCCACAGCATTCATTTTCAAGTTTACCCAAATCATTTTATTTATTTTGCAAAAAAGAATTGTTTTTATTTTAAGTAAGACCACTTTGAGGGCTAAATGAAATCTTTATTTACTTTCTTGCCTGCAAAAAAAAACCTCAGAGACAATAACGTTTTGTCCTCATCCAAATTTTGTGGGACTTTTTTTTTTCCTTTTTCTTTTGATCCTTCCAGAGAACTGAAAAATAAATAAACTGTTTTTCACAGTGTAAGTAATTCTGCAACATAATGAGCCAAAGGGAAGGGCTTTCCCAGTTTTCATGAATAGGAAATATAGTGTTATTCTTCCTCTAATATGACGGGAAATAGAGATTCTTCCTCACACCAATGCTGAGGAATTTTAGCTCCTCTATCCTTACTCCCAGCTAATGCTTTAGAAGATAGGCAGTGATTAGTCTGGTCCTTTTCATCAGGACTAAATTAAAGATAAGAAATCAGCTGTTAAGTGATGAGTTTTTCTGTTGTTTTTCATGTCCTAAAATACCATCAAACTGAATTGATCACTGTCAGCTCCGACCCTGGAGGGCACCACACCAGCCAAAGGTCTTTAAAGCGAATCCTGTATTCTTATTTAATCTTGTGAAAGCACAATCATTATAAAGGATAAATTACTGTTTGGTTGAAAGATTGCTAAGGCACTAGCTTTGATATTAATGAAACATGCTGAGATCTTGGCCGCGCTTATCATTTCTTTACTAGTGGAGTTCTCTTGCAGATAAGAGCAGGCTGTTCCATTTTATTTTGATTCGCGTGTAATTCCTCTCTCTCAGACACTTTATACGCTGTTGATAAACTCCTTCGTGGGGTTCCTGCCATCGGCAGGAAGGGCAGGTGCTGCTCTGAAAGCAGAGCTGGGGCAGATTCACTGGGTTTTGCTTTTCACTTTAAATACTCTGGATTTTAAGTGATGGGTGCAGGTTAATACAGCCCAACACAAAAGCACCAAGTTAGATTTGGGTGGATAGTCCTTCCTCAAGGACTGGAAACGCAGCCCACGTTGAACATCCATGTCTAACCAGGAACTTGCTCTCTTGTGGACTGGGAGCTTCTGGATCTGCAAAAATGGGTGGGTGACAATCTGGAAGGATATAAGAGGTGGGGAAGGGGTTTGACTTCACTCTTTTTAAAGCTGTGTTGAGAATGAGGTCAGTTCCCACAGTTTTCAAGAAGCCTGGAGTATTTCACAGCCTTTCTAAATGTGGATAAGTTCTGGCTTTGTCCCTTGAATGAGCAGACAATGAGGAAGATGAGACAGCTCTCTATAGATTCTTTCCAATCTTAATGTTACTTAAAAGCACACCCAAATTCAGGCACACAAGAGCATCTGAGAAAGCAGCAAAGCATTGTGGTATAATATAGCACTGGCTGATGCAAATAATGAGTTAAAATTACAGCAGAATTTGAATTAATGGTCTGTAGACATTAAATCACGGCCAGTCTGCTCTGTGGGCATGAATACCTGCCAGGGAATCCTGAACTGGTAGCTTTGAGCCTCACAATAATGTAGCCACAGCATAATCCAGCTCCTTGGTAGCCTAAGGCTCAAATCTGTGCTGTCGTATCAAGCCAAGCTCCCTTGGGTATCTCCAGGTTGCCCATCAGCCTACAGAGTCCTGGATGCTCAAATCCTTCTCTTCTCCACTCTGCTCTCCCAGAAATTTTCATTTCTTCCAGCCCATGAGGGAAAGCAACTTGCCAGATGTATTAAGCCCTGGAAGAGAGTGCTCAGCAATTATCCCATGTCTGACCACGTCCTTCTGCAATAAAACCTAGGGAAAGCCACACCGCCTGGAGCTAAACTCTGAGAAGAAAATTGCAATGATGCCAAAGAGTGGCATTTCTCGAATTGAGTGACAGTGGTGGTGTTTTTTTCATAGAGAACCCCTCTCCAAGTGGTGGGACATCAGTGTCACTTTGGCAGGTCCAGTGACTCCTCTTTCCCTTTGTGTTCTGTTCCACAGATGGCTTCTGTCTTCCAGAGTGGGATGGTATTGTCTGCTGGCCTGAAGGTGTGCCAGGCAAAGTGGTGGCTATGCCATGTCCCGAGTACATCTATGACTTCAATCACAAAGGTAAGTGTTGTCCTCCGTGTCGGCACTTGCTGCAGTAAGGGGAGGCCTGAGGGTCAGGAAGTTAGAAATCCTCCTTAACATCCCTTTTTCATCACGTGGTGACTCCTGACCAAGCAGAGGTGAAACCAGGAAAAAAAAATAATCTAAGAAACAACCCTTACTTTTTTATGCTGAAAGAAAAGCTCTGATTTAACCCAAACAGTGACAAATTTCCCACCCACCTCAGACTGTAATGGGTCATTATTAGCACCAATTTCATGCTTTACAACTGGGTAATATTGCAGATATACAAACCTGTATTTGTTTGATGCCACAAAATTTGGGTAGAAATAGAAACCTGCGAGATATTCTTCCAATTTATATTCTTCCCTTGACGGGTCTGTTAATTCTAGCCCCTGACCTCTGCCCAGACCCCTAGGTGGGTATCTGAGAACAGAGCTGGTAACCAGAACATGTGAATTCCTCCCTATCTCACTTCCCCTCAGGCAGCCCATTTCTTGGCTTGCTTGCGGTGCCGCGAAGTCTGTGCGTGTTTTTAGAAGCAGTTGAAGTACACTCGCTCTTCAGTGCATTTTCAAAGCTAAAGCATTCTCTTTTCTCAGGCAAAGCTCTGCACCCAAAGACTGAAAAATTAAAGAATTGAGGTTGTATGTTCCCAGCAGAGCCCTGATGCTGGTTTCAGAAAATCAAGTAATGATATTCCAGTGCACCCTGGTTGCACGCAATATGTCCTGCCTCTTCTATAAGGTCCTGAGAACTGAGCCAGCTTAACCTCTAGCTGATGACCTCTTTTGGAGACCCCTGCATGTCCACTTCACATTAGAGACCAGGAGGAACAGGCAATCCATCCTTTTTTTCTCTATAACCCAACGTGGCACGGATTCCTCACCTCACTGATATCCACTGGTCAAGTCAGCTGGGGTGGGAGTCAGATTAAAACCCTTAGATGCAGAGGGGTCTGAAAGTTCTCCCTCTGTAGTCACAGGACAGATAGATCTGTTGACTGGTTTCATCCCTGTTAACTGTAATGGGACTTTTTACATGCAGCTCATGCAAGGATACCTCCCTCACAGACATCTGAACGTGGATGTCCTCATCTGCTAGCTGGATCCCAAGGCGAAACCTTGGCTTTTCTTCTCTCTCCATGAAGAGGGTCCCCACAGAAAAATCCATCTTGAGAAGCACTGAATCTGTAAAGAAAGAGGAGCGTAATATTGATCACTGCTTATTTTGATAAGGAGGGCTGCAGTTCTGAGGATGATTCTGTGCTTTGGGATTTTGCAATGCTTCTCTCCTTGGTTTTAAACCTCATATCTTAACCTAAACTAAGTGCAATTTGTTATTAGCTCTCTGGTGTGTCTCAGCTAGAAAACTGATAAAGTTGCCAAGGAGATGGAAATTGTCTTCTTGCGGCTGAGCTTCAAAGCAGGCAGGAGGCATCAGGGTTGATGGGATCCACCCTTGGAAGAAGTTTCTCCTGTTCTACCCAGTCCAGTCCCGTTTATTCTGTCTCATTTCTCTCACAGGCCATGCTTATCGCCGGTGTGACCTGAACGGGAGCTGGGAGCTGGTCCCGGGCAACAACCGCACCTGGGCAAACTACAGTGAATGTGCCAAGTTCCTCACCAACGAGACGAGGGAAAGGGTAGGTGATTCCATTTGTGCGTGGAGTGTGAAGTGTTGGCGTCATCCAGGGCTAACCTGAGGAGCACTGTCTCATTTAAAACCCTTGAGGAGCTCTAGTTCGTTGCCTCCTCTTGGAAGCTATGTCCAAGCTTGCCAAAGCCATATCTTTGTTTCGATTGGGAAATTATTTGAATTTGAAATTGTCCTCAATGCCAAAATGGTTCCTCCAGCTGCCATGATCCCGTTTGCAAAGAGATACTAGGGAAATTTGAAGTGGGCTCAGGAACACCAAGAAGTGGTTGGAGCTTGTTCCATGCTATTGAAACTACCTCTTTCCCACCAGGGAATAATTTTGCTACCAGTTTGTTGCCAATAATTCCAATGCTTCTGTGCTTGTCTGTAGGGGATATACAAACACAGAGCTAAAAGATGTGTCAATCAAAGCAGTAACAACCCTACTTCTGTAGGTGATTAACAGAGAACATCTTCGTGGAGAGGTTAAGGATCAGAGGTTTTACATGGTCTGTTCATTGGAGATGGGTAGGGACAAAGTCCTTTGTTAAAGCAAATTAACATAGAAGGGCAGATCTTGACCTAATTCTGGTGTAGTTACAATTTTGAAACAGGGACACCAGTCCGAAGTTAGAAAAGGGATTCATAGCACATGGAGAGGGTTTGGTCTGCTCCTGGGAAAAAAAAAAAAAAAAAGGAAAAAAAGGTGTCTATCTATACATCACATCTATATGTTAAAGCAAATTAACATAGAAGGGCAGATCCTGACCCAATTCTGATGTAGTTACAGTTTTGAAACAGGGACACCAGTCCAAAGTTAGAAAGGGATTCATAGCACATGGAAAGGGTTTGGTCTGCTCCTGGAAAAAAAAAATCAAGGAAAAAAAGGTGTCTATCTATACATCACATCTATATGGCCTTATTTTTACACAATTTCGGGTGATATTCGGCAAAATATGGCCTTATTTTTACACAATTTCGGGTGATTGGCAAAAGAGTAGTTGGCAGAAATTTTCTAGCTCACTGTCTGGGTCTGAGCCCAGCTGGGGGTCTGTGGTGCTTCTGAATGTCTCCCCAGCTGAGTGCATCACAGAAGCAACTCAGTGCTAACGTGACAGCAAAGCTGCTGCTGGAGTCACCTGAGAGGATGTGACCTTCTCGTTTCGCAGAGAGAGACATTTCCACCCACACGCGGTTGCTGCTCTATTTCTGCAATTTGCAAAGAATTTAGCAGAAACCTCTGGTTCCTCAGTGGTGCTTGGAAGATGTCCTCCTTGGATATGGGGTATGGCATTAGGGACTGCTCATTTGCAGCAAGGGTTATTTTCAGACAGCTGGAGATAAAGATCTAACCACAAGCTTCACAGTGGGGAGGATGCTTGAAGATGATATACAGTCCCTTTGGGAGGACGTTCTTAATTTTAAATCCAACCACAGCATAGGGCTTTTTTGTATTTTTTTGTGTGTGTGTCAACGGTGAAGCAACATGTGAAGGAAGTTACAGTGGGGAGGATGCTTGAAGATGATATACAGTCCCTTTGGGAGGACGTTCTTAATTTTAAATCCAACCACAGCATAGGGCTTTTTTGTATTGTTTTTTTTGTGTGTGTCAACGGTGAAGCAACATGTGAAGGAAGTTGTTTAGTGAGGACGGATGTTATTTGAGCAGAATTATATCATGCAGCCAAGGAACCAATAAGGTTGCAAACATTGTTTAGTGAGGACGGATGTTATTTGAGCATCTGCATGAATTATATCACACAGCCAAGGAACCAATAAGGTTGCACACGCCACCAGGTACTGCTCCAGCTATTTCATAGCAAAGTGTGTTGTCTCAATGCTGACAACATTCACTTTTAGAAGTTTGGTGGGACTCATCTTTTCCCAGTCCATATAGTGGAAAGGACTATTTTAGCCCCAGAGATTTCTGGGAAGTTTTTGAAGTAGGTGTTGGACTTACTGAACATCCTGTTCATACTGAGAGCTTTACTAAGTTGCATGACTTCTTGACTTCTCTGAAGTCATTATCTGCCCTGTCCCACCTCTCTCAGCCACCTCCTGAGGTGAGAGTCATCTGCTGCAGACCTCTCCATCCTGAGCAGGTCTCCTAGATTTCCCCTAGGGAAAGGTGGTCCTTTCTGTTAAAGGAAACAGCTAGTCCTGGCAGCTAGGACTTGGTCAAGGTAAATCAGCAGGGGAAAGGTAGAAAGAAGAAGAGGGTTGTCCACTTGTTACCAGTACAAGGAAGGAGTAGAGACCTTCCACACCCAGGATGGGAAAAAAGGCCAAAAGCAAAGTCTGTCCTGAGATTCATGTATTTGTCTTTGTTGGTGTCTCCTGAGTGTAGAGGTGGTCACTGCACAGACAGGAACTTGGACTCTGTTTCCTAACAGAGTGACATTAGATGAGGTGTCACGATGCAGAAGACTTCATTTTTATTCTCAACCTCTGTTCTTACTTGGAAAATTGCTGCTCCTCATCACTTCTCCTTTTATGAGCTGTTTTAATAAACCTTCCCAATATTATTATCCTCATTATTCTGTACACAAAGTTCAGTCATCTTCTGCCATGGGTTTTCTAATCCAGCTACACAGAGTTGAATTTAATGATATTAAGTGGGAAGACAAATTAAACCACCATCATTGTTCAGATTAAATGGGCAACATGGTATTGCCTAAATGATGCCCACCCAATGCAAATAACATCAGAAAAAATGGAAGTTTCCCCTAGCTTCGGAACTGTAGCTTGATTAAAAGTGATTTTCAACAGCATCTATTGATGATGATGATTATTATTAACCTTGTATTTGCCAGAGGTGGCTTTCCTCATGGTGATGCTGTTGAATGATGCTCTCATGTACTTGTTTCACTGTAGAGGTGGCTGCGTTTAAGTGACAAGTGAAGCAAGGCACATACATCCACTGCAGGTCTCTTGGGCCTTCTGGCATGAAAAGCACTCTAGAAATAAAAAAAGGAAAGGGATGACTTTTTTTTTTCTCAGTTGGGTGATGAGTTTCAGAGCACGATGCAGACCTCGTGTCTTTCACACCCAAACGTGGCTCCGAAGCGCTGGAATTAATAAACCTTCCTTTGATCTTTTTTTTTTTTTTTTTTTTCCTTGAAGTAAATATGTCAAGAGATGTCAGAATCAGGGAATTTGGCAAGATAGACTAGTCGCCTTTAGAGAGAGATTGTTTTCTATTATTATTTCCCCCCCCACCCCCGGGGAACAGCATCTTTGCGTCACCAGTAACAGCTGCATTTAACCAACGTTTTGAAAGGAGATGGTGGGCTGACTCCAAGTAGGACAGCATCCCAGCAGATGTAACCAGAGGAACTTTTAAGAAACTGTGCTATTAGAAAGAATTAGGGAAAAAAATGTCTGTCTGTGACTATATATATACCTCTCTGCATTGCTATCTCTAGAAATAAGCCTATATCTATAGATAGATAGATATATAAATTCACACACCTAAATAAACACCCACGTCCATGCACACACACACAAATATACACATATATATATATATATATGTCCATGTATGTTTGTTTAGGTGTGTAGTTTTCTCATTTTAGCCACCGTGGGATAATTATAAGATTGACCAAAACAGCAAACAGTGGGCCCCAGAGAAAGTTTGTGTCTTTCGCTACCTTTGCCTGAAGCGTCTAAAGAGGATTATTTCACACAGGGCAGCACAGAAACCGCTTTCTGAAATTAGCAAAATATGCTAAAGCCATCAGAGCCGGGAGAATTAACAGCTCGTAACTGCCCGGTGAGCAATTGCTCTTGGGCTGTTTTCTAAGGGAAAATTAGCACTGCTGAAGGAGGCTGGATTGACAGCCCCGAAGATTGATGCCCTCTCTTTAGCCAGGAGAGCAGGTGGGCTGCCCTTAGCTATTGAAGTGTGTTTCTCCAAACACCTTGCAGATAGCATTAATCTTGCTGTGAACAACCATGGGCTGGAGAAGACAGCTGTTTAGCAAGGTGTGGGAAGAAGTTTTCTGGAAAGGTGTCTTCAGCAGCACATCATGGGAAGATAAGATGGTTTTCTTTCTGCCTTTGGGCAGTAGCAAATGATAGAATTCATGGTGAAAGCCACCACTGCACCACAGTCTCTATATATTCTCTCCCATTCTGCTTTTAAGATTAGCCTTCACCAGCAGAGATGGTGGAAAATCTTGGTCCATACTGGCCATTGTCCTACAGGTTTCTTAGGTTCCCTTAAAACCACCAGTGAGGGTGACCTGTATTCTTGGAGCTCCTCCTTAATCTAAAAACATGGCACACATTAGAATTCCTGAAGCATTAGTAGACAGCTTTTTAGGCAATTTCTCTCAAAAAAAACCATAGTGGCTCTTTGACTATGGGCCCACTTCCCTCCCACACAGCCAGGCAATAGCAGCACCTTCAGCATGGTCCTTTTTCTGGTCACTTTTTCAGACATTGGCAGGAGTAATGGCATATTTTGCTCAATAAGTAGAAATTTCCTTCATTCCCTTCTCCCCAAAACCAACATTAAAACCAAACACATCCTTTTTTTTTAAAGCAGGTCAAGCCTATCCTGTTTTCAAGGATGAGCTTAAGGGTAAATGTGACCTACATCTACTGAAATTGTGGGGAAGGGGAATATGAGCCAGCAACTTGGGAGGTTAGCTCAGCTCGGAAACCACCAGCCTAGCAAGATGGACCATCCTAAGACCTAACCTCAGCCCACCAATCCTGTCTTGATCTGCTACTGCTTGTTTATATCATGGTGGTTTTTACTGCTTCTAGGGAAATCAGAGAGGCCTCGAGAATCCATCACATACCAAACACAATGGGAAAGGCACAGCATGTTGCAGGACTGCTTTATCTAAACTCCATTCTTCAAACCAAAAATCTTCTCTGCCTGGCCTTTGTTCTTGGAGCTCTCTGGGGCCCTTTTAAAAGCAAACAACTTTTGTGCAGCCTCAAACTGATGGCACAGAACATGTTTACACAGCGTATACTGAGTTATCCAGATGAAAT